TACTGTTTTTTTGAGAATATTTTGTTTTTGGTGTATTTTGTTTTGTTTTGTTTTTCGTGTATTTTGTTTGGAAGTCGGTTTTATTTTTTTAAAGATAAACTACTGAATTTCCGCAACAGGAAAATTTAAATTTGTGAGTTACTTTCGTAATTATTATGCAAAATAAAACACATAGACAATCTATATTTTATTGACAGTAAAATTACAAATTCATAATATACATCAAATTCTTAACTATATACTTTTATAAATTGTATACTTGAAGTAAAAAAAAAAAAACATTTAAATAAACACGAAAGTAGAAAGCTCGAAGCTGTCATTAGAAGAAAGGGAGCAAAAACCCGTTAAGCGTTTTAATATATTAAACGAAATATACAGATAATTTACCTACGCCAATATCTCCCAGAAACGAAGTAGAATTAAACAAAACTGCCTACAGAGAGCATAATAAAACTTTTTTCACTAAACGAATAGCGTTGCGACTTGTATGCCACTTCTGCCTAATCGAACTAGTGGCAATGGATTATCAAGTTACAATAACTTAGAATTAAGAAGTAAAACTTATTCTACTTAATTATAATGTACTTATGTCAAGTATACAAAATTCTCGCTTATCAAATATCAGTATAATATCGTAATAAAATGCAAACAATATTTTTGCAGGGGTATTTTGGCAGTAGAAACGGTAATGTAATTTAAACCAATGATGTAATTATTAGTCTGTTTTGGTGGGAATTTATTACTACTTACTCACTGTTAAGCCCTCGTGTAAACACTTCAGCCCACGTGTGAAAAGTCGGTAGCGCATCTGAAGTAAATCTATGATTGTTTAGATGTGACTTGTATTAACATATTGTAGTCTCTGTTTTGTCAAACACAATGAAAGGGATAGCTATGTGTTGATTCAAGTTTCCTACAATTGAATTTTACCGTTACATTCTTGTAGAGTCTTGGTTTTACGACCTGTCATGTCTGCCCTTTCTATAGCATGACATAAAGAAAATGTATTGTCAAGTAAATACACATATAAAATCTTACATTAATAAAATATGATTAATACATTAAAAGCGTATTTTTCCCTTAATGCGAAAAATCATGAATAAGAAAATCTAAGTTTAAGTAAAATAAAAAGGCTGTAACAAAGAGTCTCTTGTCGAGTACTATGGTTTTATCGCTACACTCAGAGTCGTTTACTTAAGCAGTCCTATAGTGTAAATCAAATCATCCTAAATCCATACTAAGTGATACCATTCAACGATTCTTTCAATTAGCCAAATAAACTTACTAATAAAATAACTACAACGTTAAAGCGAATGACTATGCAGTCTGCACGTAGACGTCATGTCTGTATTTAAATTTAATGGAACATTTGATGTGGAACATCTCGCCAGGTTTCATCTGAAAAATGTTAGTAATTAAAACTTATTAACAAAAAAGAGTTGAGTGGAAGGGAGAGGGGGGAGAAGCTAAGCATGGATACACAATTTGAACGTTCATTATTGAAAAAGACGATCTTGTAAGAGAAGGTACGCGCGAGTAAAATAATAAGAAATAAACCAAACAACTTTTAATAAAATTTACAAATTAATAAAAATATATACACATTTCAGCCTAGCATCGTAAGACATCTGCTCGAACAATAATGCTTCAAATATTTACAAAAGAATAAATAAAAAAATAAACATTCTTATTTTAAAAAAAGGATTAAAAGTAAAAATATAAAAAGGATTATTGCATCGCCAACAATTATTAAAATTGAAATTTTATAAAATTAGTTTATTGTTTACATGTGTCAATTGCAATTGTCAAAAGACATGACATGACAAAACTTGGCAATCTTGCTTCCTTGATGTTGGCAGTAACTTATGGTCTCTTTCCCATATTAGGGTTTTTATCCAAAAATCTTTACCCCCGAAGGTTTTATAGCGTGAAAATATATAGCCTAAAGCGTAACGTAAGTGTACGGCTTTTCATTAAAAAAAAATGAATTATTCAAAAACATCCTGTGATTGCTGACATCTTAGGCAACAAAGAAGTGTATGTTTACGCTTTATTATATTAGTATAGATTCATTTAACTCACGATTTATCTAGTGTAGTTGATTTCAGCAACCGTTGTCAGTTTATTGTTTACTATAGTTTCGCCAGTTTCCAAGTTCTCCGGGACGACGGGCGTAAGTTCAATTTTCTTTACTTTCCTGAAAGCAATATATGTAAATACTTTTCGATGGATAATTTTATTTTTTATATTCATCCCAGAACTAAACGTCGGGATAGTAAATTTACATAAATTCATTACGATTAAATCTGGAAAGACATGGCGTGTCCAATAAATCCAGACTTTCATTTCGAAACTAGCTTTCGCCCGCGTCTCCGTCCGCGTGGAATTAAAAAAAAGTCATTTTGTGTTCTTCCATCCATCCACCTAGTCTTTCGCATTTATAATATTAACATAGTAAGATACTTACTCTTGATTAATTTCTGGTCCCATTTCGGTAACTGATATCTCTTTGTTATCTTTCGCCGAGCTTCGTTTCCACTTCAATTTTCTCATTTGAACCCACGAAGAAGTTTCGCCTTCAATTTTACTCCTGTAATTTTAAAATTGCGATTATCGTGCGTAGGAAATTACTGTACATTTCGTTAAACGCGGTGTACTATTTTCGCTAAATTTTCTGTGAATAATAGACATTATTGTATAACAGTTGGGGTTGTTAAAATCTAGTTAAATTAATTCAATTGATGAAAGTTTAACTACTCTGAGTAGGATTTTGTCTATTACGTATTACTATTTTTGTCATCTTGTACAAGATAAATAAATAAATCACAGACCATATTTACTCTTCTTTGGTTAAAAAGATTGCTAATGAATCAGGTTATTTATAAATATTGCAAGTACTTACTCTTTACGGGATCTCTCAGCAGAGCTGGAGACACGGGCAGGCCGGGGACCTCCTCGCATGGTCATGTAATCTTCGTATTGTTTCTTCAACACCGTACGAACCTTTGAACAAATAGAAATTTCCATACTGCATTACGATTGATTTCTTGAGATTTCTTAACATTTTAAGCAAAAATGCCTGACTTTAATGAAATAAAAAAAAAATACCTTTACAAACTGATAGCCCTAAATCTCTGTATCCTGAACTAATCGAACCTAACCTACATGTCATATTTTGATGTAGTTTAATTTGTTAGCGAAAGCGATGTTGACTAGATAAGTGAAAGCATACCGAGTTGCGTTCAGGTGAGTGGGTGCCATCGTTAGGGTACTCGAGTCGAGAGCTGTCCTCTAGCCTGTTCCAAACATAATGACAACGGCGGGTGGCAGACAAAAGACAAGCCAAGGTCATCGTGACACAATTTGTTTTGAAAAATGTTGTTAAATTCATTTTGAATGTGTATATCGTGGCTCTTTTAAGTAGTTAATAGTCATGTAAGTATGTAAAGTTTTTAGTTTATATATGACAGCAATTTCAAGTGAAGTGAGTGAAGTCAATCGAAATATCCTCCAACACTTAAACGTGGGAATTTTTATTAGCATTTTTGTAATGCAAATACGAGTACATAAATAAATCTATACTATTGAAAAGACAATGTGTGTTATATCACATTCTGTGAGTTAGAGTTTTCGATCACAATATAGGTATATTCATAATAGAATTGAATCTGGTTGGCAAATATGACATCACGTAATCGATGCGTATGTTTACCACGACTTGAGTGGTCTAAAACACATTTCGGACGCACTCGATATATTGATTTCAGTCAATATCGTGACCTTCTTGATGTGGATTCAATATTATAAAGGCTATACTATAATCATTTCTTTAGCTTTTAGTTCTTATTATAAATAGCTATCCGCCTTACCTACTTTTGTATGGTAATGAATAGTCTCATATCATTTCTGTTATATCCATAGCCTTCGTCTTGATGTAAAATATAGCCTATGTTACTCAGTGATGATGTAGCTTTTTAAAGAATAGTGAAATCGGTTCAGAAGTTTTGGAACATACTCAATGCAAACAATTACATTTTTCCTCGTTATAAGAGCGCGCGCACATATTTGATTAAAATGTCGCACAACTATTCAGTCGCGGTTTGATTCCTATGAGTTTATGGAGGTGCCACATTACGCGATTTTAAGTTGTGCAACTAAACAGTTGAATTGGTTGGGAAACAATCGACAGTCGCACAACAGTTGTGCGATTGTTTATACAAAGGTGTGCGCCCGCTCTTATAGGTTTTTTTTTATTTTAAATGTTTAATACATTTCACTGTCTACAGGTGAGTAAACTTATATGTTTTGTTGTTCTAAATATCTTTCTACAATATAGTAACATATGATGTACAATCATTTGGTCGGCGCGTAGTACTAGTATTTTTATTTACCTCTCCGTTCAAGAAGCAGTAGATAAGAGCAATAAAGAAGCCCTGGAATGATCGAAGGAAATGCGTACTGTAGCTCCATAGCCCAAACATCCAGACTCCGCTGTCCAGCGGCGCTTCTATCAAGTTCAAGATGTTCGTGATCCCCAAAAGTGGTAAAAGAACAAGCGCCGCTCGAACAGCTTTCCTGAAATTAAAACAAGTCATAATAATCAATAACTCGGATTTAGCAAACTAATTTCCATAGGTCTATATAAGTCTATACTTCTATACCAAATAACTGTAAAGAGGAAAGATTCGCATTTTTAGATTTTTGTATATATATTGAAGTAACTCAAAAACAGCTGTACCGATTTCAAAAATACTTGCACCATTAAAAAGCTATGGTATGTATGTATTTACTTTTTTTTAAATTTCACGTGGGCGAAGTCACGAGCGAAAGCTAGATAGTTATAACTTTGTCTTTTGACGACGAGGTTTGTATATGTATTGCATGATATTTTTACCTGACTTTCTCCATTTCTGTACTCTGAGACTGGCGGAGTTTGACGATCAAAACTCTCATGATGTTCAAAAGAAATATTAGGTTTATCTGAAAATAAATTATGAAAATAATCAGTTTGGATCTGTATCGATCAGTTGCTAAAACCTTCTTAACTTTCTATGAAGTAGTTGATTTTAAAACAAGCTTAATAACTACTACATAAAGCAGTAGAACATCTTATAAAATGTGTACTTTGACAACATAAACTTAAAGTCTACATTATCGAGAATTACCATATTTTAATGAACCAACATCCAATATCGCTATGATCACAATCTCCCGTCTACACGTGCGACTTATCTATTATCTATCTATCTATAGTAATATAATAAAGCGTTAACATAACATAATAGCATAATTGTAAACATCCGATAACCTAACACATTAAAATATCGGGAAATAAACTTTCGCTACTAAATAAAGAAAGTATCAATATATCCACAACGAGTGACTCATTCACTATTATGTACTTGTGTTATTTATTACTCGAAATAAATACAATTATTTATGTTAATATAATGCTTCGTATAAATTACTACTTCGAGATTTAGCGCATGTATCGGAAAACTTCCATCGTTTATCAAGAGCTCTCAAACACGTGTGTAAACGCACACAAATTTTACTAGTATCTTTTATTAGTTATCCAACTCGCTTCACACGGGCTTTATTAACAAAATAGAATACAGTTTTCATTGATTCTTATAATTAAAAAGCAATGAAAGGTGTGCGTCAAAAATGTCTGCTACATATATGTACTTAGTTATTGTCGGTTAGGAATTCTGATCCGCTGTTAGCAAAAGGGACAGGTTTTAAGCTCTTTTTTATATAGTAACATACTCTAATTTGCGTTTTAAATTACTTCGTTCATATTGTATTTATCTCTCGAAGGATATTGAAGCGAATGCACTTCAATCTCCTTTAAAGGACATCAGATAGTTTGTTTCTGGCATGACATTTGTATTCACCTGTTGTCTGTGTTTTTTCAAAGAGAACATGTGGAAGGATATTTTATATAAATTCTTTGATAGTTAAAACCTACAGTTATAAACATTTGCTTACCATTATGACGGCCAGTCGAGGTCCTTGGACGATCCAGTAGAGTGGGCTGAAATTGTATCCATACCAACACCTGTGAAATGTAAACACATTGATGCGGATAGCTCTGAGAGTTGAATCACGCCAGTCTAAATAGATACGCCGCGCCGCCGCGCCGCCGGCCAGCGGTCTGAACGTTAACTATTGCCTGTCGATTGACGCCGACTTTGTTTAGGTTTTTACGACATTTTGATGAGTATGGCCGGATACGATAAGTGTAATATGGAATAAATATAAGAGATCAGTCCGATTTAATCTATCTTAAAATTTGGTTGTCGGCAGAAACAAGAACTCACTACAGTTGGCCATAATATATTTTCCTATAATTTAAAAGGATCAACCGATTTTCTTTAAGACTATTTTCTGGGTAATGTTTTGTCCGACTTTAACTCTTTTAGATCGATATAGTTTCGAAAAAGCTCACTAGATTTATTACAATGAGTAAGTAAGTAAAATTATACCACACTTACGTCTCTAATCTCTCCCGTTGGTAATGCAAAGCTGTCATGGTGGCCCAGATCGCGGTGACAACAAACGGTATCCCCCATCCCGTGGCATAATATAAGAGGTACGATATTCTCTCCCTGAGAGCGTTCGCAGTTACCACATTGTGTAAGTACAAGCCTTCGATAAACATCCACATAAACATCACCGTTATAGCATATTCCAGAAGAACGTACGATGATTCGCAGAGGTATGGCTGAAATAAAAAAATCAACAAATCACTATATGTATATGGTATATAAAATGTCGCCAGCGATTACACCAAGGGAAATTTTAAAATCAGACTATCAAAGCAAACAGGAAAAGCATTTAAAAAAAATAAAGAGAATAAATTTCGCATTAGCAATTTTAATAATTAACGCTCAAGCTTAGTCTTTCGCACAATTTAAATAAATAGTTTAATGCTACTAGTTCGTACTATTAATAAAAAAGAACCATAATTAGGTAGATGCAGTCTCAAATGATCCAAGTATTCGTCGGATAAGAAATTGCCTTGTGGGCAGTTTACACTTTCAAGGATTTTAAAGTGTCCTTGAAAAATACAAGTGTTCTTAAAATATGTTTGTACTAACCTTTAATTTCTAAGGTCGTTGAATTATTAACGACAAAACATTTCATTTCATGTATTTTTTTTATTTCTATACATACAAATTTGCGTTATATTTTTATATCAAATGCATTGTTATCGCTGTGCTTATAATTATACATATTAAGGATTTTTACGGCAAAACTACAAATTAAAAACGTAAAAAAAGGTAAATAGTAAGCGCGTCGCCAGTCAATAACCTAGGTCTTATACGAAGTAGTTTTTATATCTATTTTACATTTTTCTACACTCTATGGGGGCACAACTGCGCTTCTCCCCTAACCTCCCTAACAATCCCACGGAATGCATATTAAGAGTAGTCGTAATCTATGACGTTATTGAGCAGCTGTCATGCAAGCAGTGTTCTTAAGTCCTAACTACGCTTCTTTGAGGTTAGTTTTTACCATATTATCTATCCCCTTAATAGTGAAGTTTCCGTAGGTTGAGTGGTCGCCCATTGGACTCCTGATGAGCGCTTGGTCGATGTAGACCGTCAGTCTTATGATGACTTGCACCAACATCGCGCAGAACAAGGATTTGTGGATTCTGGTTCTATTGTTACGTAAAGACCTGAAGCAAAGAATACATATAGGTTTACTTGTAATAATTGGTTTGTAAGTCGCCAACGACTCCTGTCAGTGATTCATAGAAAAATTGTGGTGTAGAACTGTTAACATAAATAAAGTTTCATAAGACGAAAAATTGCGCTATCGTATATTATATTATATTATGATTTTTCTTTTCGCATACTTTTTACAACCAGTGATGGCAAAAGGCAACGGCTCCTTAATGATTTAAAACCTTTATTTACTAAATCAACTTTATAGCTATTCGGTATAGATTCTAGACCGATAGGAATTTATTAATTTATCATATGTTCCCAATAGAAGTATTAACGCGTAGCACGTTATTTTGTATTCGCATTTTGCTTGGAATTTACTTAGAACATGTATTCGATTAGTTATTTTTTAAAATAAATTTACCTGTAGTAAGAGAATATGATCAGAGATATGATCAAAGCCAACATCGAAATGCTAAATCCTGCTATCTCCATATACCTTGTTCGCTGAGCTATCTCGAATTTTAACTGAAACAATAAGGGGTATTGTAAGATTCAATGTTTATGGTGGCTTGTTATCTAGGAACGCTCGTCTTCACTGAAGGGTTAGCATGTTGTGAGTTAAGGGGAGTGCCACGATCTCGCATCTTTTTACGTCAAAACAGCATGAAATGGAAATGTGTCGTAGTTGCCAGGTCGAAGCGATCCGCCATACAGGTTGAATGACAGTATACATTTGTTTTGTATCATACGATATACAAGCCTTGAAATAAAGGGAAGGACATTTACCATATTAATTAATTAACCGTACAAAAAATATCTGGATAGGATGGAAAGGTATTTTCATTAATTTTGATATTACCCCCAAATATTTCAAGTTATAAATTCTAAGATGCTTATGATATCAAATATGGCTGAAGATTCTTTTCTTAAGATATTTAATACGCATCTTTGTAATAAATTGATTTAATAAAAAAAGTTAAACTGATGTTGGACATGTACTATGAGAGACAGAATTAGAAACATCATCTCACTTCGTATCTAATTTACCATTAAGAGCATCAATTCCATATTCGATGTATCCTGCATTTCCTTTGAAGCTGTGACTTCAGCAAAGCCGTGTCAGATGTTTCAACTGCGCAATTACTAGTTTCCAAAAGTCTCAAAGCAATTTACCCACGGCCATTAGAGAGTTAAATATAACTCGATAAATACAAGATACGTTGAACCGAAGATGCAAGATGTTCAATATAAATTTATTCTATAGCTATTTATATAAATAAATTACATTCATAAATTTCTGAAAACCAGACTCAAGACAGCTGGTGTCCTTAATAAATTTATACATTTGAATAAATATATTTAACCGACAATAAATTTTCTGATGATGATTGATTGTTACGCATTGCAAATAACGTAGATCTAAACATCTACTTACTACTTTGCCAAAAACATATTAATTTTTTTTTAAAGTTATTTATGACGTGTGCTTAAAATAATCTAACTACCGACCTGTGCTTCCTTTTCGACGTCATAAACTTTACCGAAGAGCGTCTGAACTTCTGGCGGGAAACACGGCGTGTAGTTTGTCCATCCGATGACGCTGCTCTCGTTCGGCCGTCGACCTAGCCAGAGGCCGGAGTCACCGCACCGACGAAATGCAAAACCTGAAACAAATATGTTAAAGTTTAAAAATCGACAACAAAGGAAAATTAAAAATGTTGATGATGGTTGCTTTTCACGGTGCGTGATTCTACAGACATGCGACGAACGACCACAAACTCTTTGGACACCAAATGAATAATTTATCCGACAAATAGATACAAATCGTGCACGGCCAACACTTTGTCTATCAAAAAATAATGATATTACAATGAAGTACAATATACTTACGTGATGTGTCGCTAAGTCTTGCTGGTGGGCAGTTTTGTGTGGCGACATCACCCGCGGGCGTTGGTGGCCAGCACAGGAACTTGTCGTATGTTGCATTGCAGTACGTCGTTTCTGAAATTATCATACAATCATTTAACATTTGTACAGAAGTTGAACCCTTCAGAAGTTTCATTGGCTACTCCGCAACTGATGAAAGAAAACAACGGTTTCGTTTTGCTACTTTTTGGTAGTTACAATCTTACTAATACTAATGTTATAAATGCGAAAGTTTAGATGGATGGATGGATGGATCGATGTTTGTAGCCTAAACGGCTGAACGGATCTCCATGAAATCTGGCACAGGTCTAGAGTATAGTCTGGAAGAACGCATAGGCTACTTTTTATCCCGGGAATAGTTACGGTTCCCGTGGGATTGATTAATTTAGTTTTTTAATGTTCACTCGATCATTCTGCAACGGTTTAACATATCTTATTGACATTTGGCACAGATAAAAAACAAAGTCTGGATTACACATGAGATAAACTTCATCCCAGAGAAATGTCCGGTTCCCGAGGGATACGTAGCTTTTTGTAATTTATATAGTTCATATGTTTTCTAATACCACGCGGATGAAGTCGCGGGCAACAGCTTGTGGTTTATAAAAGAAACTGATTTTGGCGGCAACATAGAAACACAACATTATCGAGTTTGTTGTTTTCCAGGGTACAATATGATTCATAACATCAGAAAAGCAACAACATTTATTGGTTCAAACTTTCGATAAGCTGATAAGCTGCTTTTCATGAGAAAATTTTATTTGTTCAGACGACTTAGCGTGAAGAGGTTCTCAAGTAAAGATACGATTAATATGTATTTCTAAAACATTACAGATTTTTTCATTGTTACCAAATTTTTTCTAACAAAAAAAATTATCCTATGATTTTTCTTGTTGCCATTCCATCAACGCCTGTCAGAAAATCTCAGCAAGTAGGGTATGAAAGCTGACACGGATAAAATCTAATGGAAAACTAGGAATCGATTGTTGAATAAAAGAACTTATTTTTTATTTCGTTTATTATTTTATCAAAACGTCAAACTATAAAGTAAATAAATACATCCGTAATATATATCTAACAAGTAAAAATCTAAAATTATCATATAATTATTAATAAATTTTATTCTCTAAAATCTAAAGAAGTTCTAAACCAATAAACAAATTATAAAAACTCTAGTATAAGTTATATAAATTCAGTATGCCGATTTTTCCTTTGGTTTATACGTTAAGAAGTAATCCCTGAATTGAGGAACCAGAATCGGTGTTTGTCCTGGGAGTCCGCAATTAGTTAAAGTTTCCTTCATTTTCTCCAAATCCATGTCTTTCATTTCACACAGATCTTCGAGAAATTCTAGAAATTCGTCCCAATTCAATTCTGCTTTGCTACAACAGAGTGATTTTAAGTAAATACAATAATAGAATCTGCAACATCAGTTTACAGAATTATCACAAGGAGAGGAGTGAATTAATAGAGAAGTGAAATATCACCTTCCAGGTAATTCCCCTTAAATTACTTACTTGAATTTATTAAACGATATTCCAGTATCAGTCATTGTGATTCTTCTATCGTCTAGCAGTTTCGTCTGTCTCAACCAGTAGTCGAATCTGTATAATGTGATGGTGAGACCATTTCTTTTGTGGTCAAACAGTAGTGCGAACTCATAAAACTGACCCTCAAGTGTAGCCGCTTCTTCGTCACCCATAAATCAAGTCTGACAAAACTTCAAAATAAATTTTAAGTACCTGCTATCGAAAATAATAAATAAAAGGGATAAGGAAGTTCACAATTTCGAGTATTCAAAATATATAGCAACTGGATCTAAATGCAATGGTTAAAAATATTGTAAAATGTTAAAAATATTGTTGATAGTGGAGTGAAGTGTCTGGTATTTTATCACTGTTTGACATAATAAATCTCGTCGCATAGTTACCAAAAAAACTGATACCAAACAGAATAGATCAGTTACAAGCGCAGATGTGACAAATTTACGCGAAATTATTATTTATATGTATGACTAGCTTTCGCCCGTGACTTCGTCCACATGGAAGTTGTAAAGTAAGTAAGCCTTCACGTATTGTTATGGTGGTAAACTCTAACAAACATTCATCCATTTAACTAAACTTTCGCAAAATACTAATAGTTACATAATTTAGTAAGAAATTAAACAAATTATACGATGTGCAAATTGTCGTTGCACTCAGCTCCCAGCAACTGGATACAAAACTCGTTTTAAATAAAGTAAATCGTAATGGAATTTAATGGTTAAATAAAAGGAATTGATTTAATATTAAGTTTTATTTCTTAGTAAAATAAAAATTAAGGTAAAATGTCTTAGAGTATAGTTTCAACCTAAAATCATCTTTTCCCTCGGTTTATACGTTAAGAAGAAGTCTCTATATTGGGGCACATTAACTGGTGTTTGACCTGGAAGTCCACAGTTAGTTAGCGTTTCTTTAGTTTTTTCCAAATCCATTTCTTTCAGTTCACACAGATCTTCAAGAAACTCCGACCATTCATCCCAGTTCAATTCTGTCTTACTGCAAAATAAAAACATTTCATAATACAATAAAAGTTGTAAAACTATAGACGCGTTCTATTATTTAGACAAAAAATACATATTATGTATTTCTGGCAGCAATAATAGTAGTAAAACTAACTCGAAGGAAGCCGGTTAATATTACAAGACCATGTGCTAGAGGACAGAAGGTAAGTTTGGACTATTCTACTTTCTTTTAGATTCTTCTTTTCCTTTCTGTCGTTTAGGAGAGAAGGATATAAAAGAAGGGATCAATCACGAAGAAGACTAATGGAAGGGAAAAAAATGAAAAAAGACACTATTTATTCTTTCTTCAGGCTGTTGAACAAATATCGTTCAATATACTTACTTATACTTATTAAATAATATTCCAGTATCAGTCATAGTGACTTTCCTATCGTCTAGCAATTTCGTCTGTCTCAACCAGTAGTCGAACCTGTACAGTGTGATGGTGAGACCATCTCTTTTGTTGTCGAACAAACGCGAGAATTCGTAAAACTGACCCTCGAGAGTCGCTACTTCCTCTTCACCCATAGCTCAAGATAACTACAAAGTAATAAATTATTGAATAAACTGAACCAATAACTAATCACATCACAGGGAAAAGGGCAGGTTGATGATGATGAAATCGATAAATTATTATAATCTTGATATAACAGATCAAGATTTTGACAGTTTTCAAAAATATACGAACTGGGTCTGATATATGAATTTTGCCTATACTTACCTTTTGCCACATGTAATATTTTACTTATTTTTCTTGATATAACCAAGTTAAAAATTTACTTCTTACTATTTTAACTATCACAATCAAAAGCGTCGTATTTGCATAGATACCAATAGACATAAATGTCAACTGTAAACAATAGTTTTTATTTTTTTCGACCGACGATGTGTCGCAAGCAGGGCGACCGGTGACAAAATTGTGTTAATTCCAAAAATGTTATTTTTTAAATCTTTACCTGTATTAATTAAGGGAAAATATTTTGTCCCTTTCGTTTAACATTTTCAACATCAAGCAACAAATAAACGACTCACGACCTAATTACATCCACAACAACAATTGCTTAAAACGCGAATACTTATACCATAGCTTCTAAGAATTGCAATGTTTTGCACGATGCAATTCTTACTACTGCGATGCACAACTTAGTTTCCCAACAGTGACATTTTTTTCCAAATTATAAAGCAACGTTCATAAATTTATTTAAAAAACACACTGCCAGTTACTTCCAAGTCTTTAACATGTTACAAGAAGCATTAAAAATCCAACCTTAAACCTACCATAGACAGAGCTCAAACTTCTTAAAGTATGATATGTATTGAAGCGATGTTGTTATAAACATGATCTTTATAACGTTGTGGTTTCAGTGAGTCCGCGGCAAAGTTTGAATGTTACAAATTTAACGCTTGTATATATATAGCCATACGTATTATAAATACTAAGTACAGTTTCGTAATTTATGGGAACGCATGTTTATTTTTATCTCATGAAATTTTTCATTGAGATATAGATTATATTTACGATGGATACCTATGCGTGAATAAATATAGGTAGGCTCAAGATATAAAAATTGGAAAGCTAAGTGAAAATCCTATATTACTTGTATCTTATTGTGAATGTGTTATTTAATTTCTTATTACGATTACAAAGCATATAATTATTACATAGCTTTATATATACGAGTACAAATCTGTTCGTTTAGATAAATTGTAAAATCCTTTGTGTATGTAACTTATTTGGGCCAAGACATAAATATCCAAAGAATCGACTCCTAAACATTTAGACAAAGCTAATCTTTAGCCATTTTTTTGTGATAATTTCTTTAAAATATTTATTTTAGTTTAGACTTCAGGCAGTAACTTCCCACCAGTGTCCAACAGGGGTATGTAGAGAATACGGATGGTCATTTCTCACACACACTTCTCTTACCTTGTCCACATTCACATATGTACGTATTCCCTTCATACCACGTTAAAACAAACAACTAATTCTATATACTATAGTGCCACGTTATACTCGTAATATATCAAATGAACGTTATATATGTAGGTACTCACAATAATATAAATTATTTTGATTATAAGTAAAAGAGTAAGTCAATTTCATTATTCATTCAATAATGATTTGAAGGACTTTTGATCTTCAAATGGATACCGTCGACTCGGAAAATAAGATATTTTCATAATAAGCTTTACATTCCATTTTGCGATCTTTCGGATGAGAACTACATACAAATCTTACTAATATTATAAATGCGAAAGTTTAGATGGATGGATGGATGGATGGATGGATGGATGGATGTTTGTTAGCGTTTGTAGCCTAAACGGCTGAACGGATCTTCATGAAATTTAGCACAGGTTTGGTTTGGAGCATAGTCTGGAAGAACACATAGGCTACTTTTTATCACGGGAATAGTTACGGTTCCCGTGGCATTCATTAATTTAGTTTTTTAATGTTCACTCGATTATTCTGCAACGGTTCAACATATCTTATTGAAATTTGGCACAGATATAAAACAAAGTCTGGATTACACATGAGATAAGCTTCATCCCAAAAGAAGTGTCCGGTTCCCGAGGGATACGTAGCTTTTTGTAATTTATATAGTTCGTATGTTTTCTAATACCACGCGGACGAAGTCGCGGGCAACAGCTCGTGTTGGATAAAAATACACGCGTGTCATTTTCAATGGTTAAAATGGCAAAAGATTAGTGTAGGATGACCGATAAAGACTTCTGCAACGTAGTTTTTTAGTTTTTAATTAAAATTTTAATCCATCTAGTGGTCACATCATCAGATGCAAACATAAGTGATATCATAAATTGAACATCTTTGACAACGTTTTTGTGGCCGTTGGATAGGATGTATTTGAAGATTCCGCGGGGAAAAGGATGTTTGCCAATTTTATTGAAAGTATCCTTTTATTCGTGTCTATTGTAATATCGGTTAAATGTTTTTATTAGAACTTTAATTAGAATTGGGAATAGTTATAGTTGTCCACTGACCAACGTTTACTTTCAAAAAACATAAAATTAAAACATTGAACTACGTATCAAAACGTTTTTATCTTACTAACAATTTAAGGTCCTTATTTTTTTTAACAACACTTTTCTAGGATACACAAACCACGCAAGAGAAGTAGTCAGTTTCAAGTGCATTTAAACATGTCGAATAATTTGTCCCGTGCTTACGAACGTTTTCCTCGTGATTATTTTGAGTGCTTTTACGAATAGTATAAAGTTATGCAACAAGCAATTTCATATGAGAATCTTAGAAATGCAGATTGATATCAAGTTTATTTTCTAAGTAATGGTTTATGAATAAAATGAGAAATAATATTTTAGACATGTTTTATCCGGAGGGCTTTACATGCTCTCCTAACTACAACTTTACCAAACACTTCTTTTCCATTGAGAGCTATTCTAAATGTTTTCCAACTATTTAAGAACTAAGAAGTTATAATGAGATTACTTATTTGTATAACTTTCAAACAGTGTTTTTGTGATCATATAAAGTATTATTTCCTATACATCTATACGAATATAATAAAGCGTAAACACACACGACTTTGTTGAGTAAGATGTCAGCAATCACAGCATGTTTTTGAATAATTCCTTCTTTAATAAAAAGCCCTACACTTACGTCACACTTTAGGCTATATACTTTCAACTTAGGGGTATATAAATTGAAAAGAAACCTTAATGTGGGAAGGGGACCATAATTACAAGCTGCCAACATTAAAGAAGCAAGCTTAATATGTCATCTTTAGTTAGATGGATACACTAAATGAATCCCGTAATAGGTTTATAGTAAGGACTTTATTTTCTCACACAAAGATTGTATCTGTTATTTAAGCCACAAATAAAGTTGAAACTATATTAGTCACCTCTAACTTAGGGTAACTAGTCCCTCGGTGGAGACATATAGATGGTGATTAAGTTTGGTACTTTCTTATCACAGCATATACATGAGATAAAAAATAAATCATTGGGCTTACATTAACAATGTTCTGTTATGATTCACAGTTCGATTTAGATAATATTGTACCTCAGTGTTTCAAACAATGTAACGAAATCTATTTATGTTTATAAATGTAATGTACATTTTTGAGATTTTGGCTCAGCTATTTTTAATATTTCTGCGTCATCGGTAATCTACAGTAGTATAAATTATTGTGTGTAGATATAAACTAAAACCCGCTTTTCAAATCACTATAATGGAAAGAAAAAGTTTAAACTAAATCAATATAATTTACTCTGTTATCTTGACAATTAATACAGATTGTAAGAATATAATACAAATCGAATAGTGTTAACAATAACATTGTTAAAGGTATCGTATCACTTTGCCGGAAATTGGCTCCTCTAATTAATTGGTACTTCGATGTCGATATTACGAAATAATAAAATATTTCTTACTGCTTGTTATACAAAATAATAAGCGTCTTACATTTTTTTGTTTACGACTGTAATCCAATTAATTAGTTTAACTTGGCGTGAAAGCAACATCAGTATTAATTGCTCCTCTTGTTTTCTTCAGGTCTTTGTTTATATAGGTAATAAGTGACCGAGAGTTTGTGTTGACTCCAGGACAGCTAACTACCACATATTGTACCTAAAATAATGTCACTTACCCGCCTTGTAGGCGAAGTCCGCGAACTTCTGAACGCAGGCCCGGTAGAGCCGCAGCAATTCATCTTTCTCCTTAGACGCCGACAGTTTTGCGCCCGTTTTGCCGGATTAGTATTGAGCAAATGTGAAACTGTAAAAAAAAAATTAACGTTTTATTTTCACTTATCAAGCTATCTAAGCTGGATAATATGGTCCTACAAAGTCTGACCCTAAAAAAGACGCTATTATCATATTAAATTCTTGAAAAATATAGTATATAAATTTAGTAAGAGAAAATTACATAAATTACCTATCGGTCCTGATAGGATATTCGCACTGTACAGACAGTATAACTGTATTGATTTTAGCCTATTAAAATATTAATGTATAGAAGAAGGAATTACTCTAACTGTCGACTGGGTATGCAACAGCGCAATGAAAGCCTATTATATAATGATATAACTTCAATGGAAGGGCTTGAATATTTTGTATGTTGCAAACATTTCAACATTTCGTTGCTTATTGATTATAACATGTCAGCTTCCTGTGTTTATTCGCGTATCGCATGGCTCATCCTGCATTAATGATATAAACACATAAATATTTTGAAATTCGCTGTATCTAATCACTATTTCCGTGCGATGGTAGCACGCCTTAGTTATCAATGCAGACGGAGATTTGAATTTGAATCCGGATAAGTGCCAATGAATATTAGTTTATGAAGCAATATTTTAAAATTAAAATCAAGGAGAATACGTCCACTTAGTTTTAAGAGCGAGCGCACACTTTTAACAAGACTATTGCGCAACTGTTGTACGATTGTCGATTGTTTGTACAACTAAAAATTCAGATGTGTGTACATCTCCATATAAGCTCATAGCAATCAAAGCGAGACTAAACAATTGTGCGATAGTTATGTTTCGGGTGTGCGCACGCATTATCGTATTGTTAGGTTTAATTAAACTCATTTTGAAATATCGTTTTGAAAGTTTAATTTTTTATTACTTTTCTTAGACACTATTTCACGTTTAGATAGTCTTTTCAATCAGAGGATTTTTAACAGCTCCATCGTAGAGGGAAGGGGCTCCGGATGGTAAAAAAGGACATATTCTTTATGAGCTACTCTACACTGGATAGATTTTCAGTTCAGATAAATAATTAAAATTGTATAATAAAATATTAAATCTTTTATTCCTGCGAAACTCTTAAGACAATAATCTCCAGTGAGGGCTAATCCTTTAAAAAATTCAATAAATTAGCGAGCAATTAAAATAGGATTACAGGATTATATCATAATAACAAGACTGTTAGGGAGTTAATTGGAAATTGTATACTGGTCTTAAATAACATAGGAGTTATCATGTTAGGAGATTTTAAACTCATTTCAATATTTTGGCATTTTTAAAACAATTGAAATACAATTGTTACGGTAATATACAGCCTATTTTTTAACACTAAAAAGATTTTGGTTGTTTCCCGTTGGGCCGATCGGACTACCGATAAAATACCTAAATAACTTTGTCCTTTGAAAAAATAAACTCCTTTGTATGGTATAAAACATATGAGATTCTCATTAACTTGTAAAGATATTTTAGACGTGGAGTGTTTTAAAAAACTCATCTTCTAAAAGGTGTAATAAAATAATCTAATATTGTAAGAAAATGTTAATGTAATAAGAGCGAACCATTTGCTTGGAAAAAAATCATTATCGGAGAGTATTATTGTGTAAAGTTTATACAGTTGTTTTTGTAACATTTGAAAGGTTTTCATTAGAATTTTGTAGCATTTCACATAATAATAAAGATTTGTGGTTATGATCGACGTAGCTGTGCGCTACTCGTACTTGAATACGAGAATGTTCTGTCTCTCATTCACATTATGGTATTAAATAGATTTTGACTACTCAGAAACATCCGTCTGTAGATCTGCCAATTCCTGATTGAGGGTGAAAGAATCCTGTGCAGGATTTGCGGTGTTTCACGAATTAAATGTAGCATTTTTACTCTGCAAAGTACTTTGGTATTAATCTGTCTTATTTTATTATTATTAATTCCAGATGTGAAAGTAAAACACTATTAAAAGTAAACGTTGATATACACTGAGTTACACTAAAATAATATCCGGTGTGTAGAAATTTGGTAAAAGCTTATAAGCAATTCGTGGATTTATGTACAATCTTGCCGGAATAAAATATACATTGACTGCGTTAAAATATACATACATGAAATTATAGTGTCGGAAGTGGGCTTCCTACGCAACTGGTGGTGTAGCAGTACGAAAAATGCGTACATTTTTGATACTATTATACTACTATATAGTACAACTACATAAGTTTGATAGTTAACGCAACGATTTACTACGACTACATATTTTTGATATAATATTTTAACTGCAACCCTAACAGTATTAATCCGTAACTAGAGAAGTTCTTATTCTGTTACCGTTTTAGCGTTCCTTGTAAGAAAATAAGTTATAAAGGTATTGCCTTCTCAAGTAAGTATTGTCATCTTTTTGACCGACTTCCCAAAAGAAGGAGGTATTCAATTCGACGATATGTTTTTTTTTTATTTTTTTTTATGTGTTTTACGGCATAACTCCGCCGCTAGTGGACCGATTTGGATAATTCTTTTTTTATCCGAAAGGTAATGCTTGCAGGTGGGTCCCATTTTTTTTTTTTAATTTTTGGAGTCTAAGACTACGACGTAGTTAAATAGTTTAGCTCAAAATCGCGCGACGAAATTTCGGGTCATTTTTCCTTTCTTTGCTTACGTAGCCTAAACTATAAGACTTACATAAAAATGATGTATGGAAGAATTGTAGCCCATTAAATTTGCTAAATAAAAGTCCGCAATAGCATATATCTATCTATTAAGGTTGTCGCACAATAACCGTTTGTTTCGCGAAAACCGTCAAATAAATGCAATCGACTTCACTTAAAACGCTTTTATTCTTATTTGGTATGAATCCTTATCCAAATAAATATGTTTTCACGATAGAGTATTAAATGTAGATCATAATTGCCTTTTACAGTATGTAATTCTGACAAAGATTCTAGAAGTTATCAAAATATTAAAACGCACGGGCAACAGCGGCGCGTGGCTGGACAGAATTATGAGTGAATGATCGCAACGATGTATTAGATCTTTACTTAATTTCTCATATAATCGATTTAGATAACTCATTCTTTGTTTGAAAGCTAGTGATTATCATACTGCAATGTTTAGATTCACTAAAAATCAAGAAATAAATAAACTTTTTAATAAAAAAACAAAACCGACTTCCAAACAAAATACACTAAAAACAAAACAAAATGCACTAAAAACAAAACAAAATATTCTCAAAAAAACAGTACATTAAAAAGTAACGAAATAATTCCTTGAAAATAGTAAACCTACCTTATTGTAACTGTTATGTCTATATTGTACAATTATTTTTACTTTGAAGTCGGTGTCAGTCAATTTAGATTCATTACTTAATCGTTACTATACTTTCAATTGTCAATTGTTATGGTAAAAATGTGGAAACCCTTACGTAAAAATATCTCTGGATACCTTGGCTGACACCGACATCAAAGTAAAAATAATTGTACAATATAGACATAACAGTTACAATAAGGTAGGTATACTATTTTCAAGGAATTATTTCGTTACTTTTTAGTGTACTGTTTTTTTGAGAATATTTTGTTTTTGGTGTATTTTGTTTTTAGTGCATTTTGTTTTGTTTTTAGTGTATTTTGTTTGTTTATTATCCACTTCTAATATAAATAAAGACAAGGATCTTTGCCAAATATAGTACAGATAAGTTCTATTTAATAAAATAGTCTAAGTGTTAAAAAGATGAATTTGAAATACATGTTCAGTTGTACTTAAAAAGAAAAGAGACGAAAAAAAAAAGAATTGGCATCGAATATAATATCAGCGACGACGTACAGATTATAGATAGTTCTCTTCGCACTTCATAAAATACCGTTTAAATTATTACGTATCCAAAGTAAAATCTACACAGTATATAATAAATTAGAATTGTATTTATTTACATTGGCCTCATAAAATTCCTTTAACGTTAGTCAGTTATTTTTTTTAGTTTAAATTGCCACAGTTGGTATGCGATTGTGATTTTTTTTAATAAAGATATAGTAGATGTCTATAGAAATCCGGAGCACATAAGTGAATTAAACGTGCTTTCAAAGTGATAAAAAATTATGACCTAGACGTAAATCTATAATTGTCGTTGTTCATTGTTGTAGGATAGCAAATTTATAGGATTTAAAAGGTTGATAATCCATTAAGTAGATTCTGGTATCAATTAGAGGTTTCCGTTTATCAAACATCAGTCCATCTTCGTCTCATTAAATTAACTTTTATTTCAAATTTAATTGCTCCTTAGGTTTTTAAAGAAAAATCCACAACTTTTTATATAGCATATTTCATTCCTAACCGTTACAAGCCTGAAAAATTAGCTTATTTTCGTAATTTTGTACATAATTTTACTTTAGGATACAGTTGCCAATATACTTATGTTTTACATAGTACTTGTTTGCTAGTCATAAAAAATTCGGGAGTGTTAATGAGTGTAGGTTTAATGTTGCTGGGAGTGGCATTTAGGCAATGGCTGACCTTGTCAATGAACCAATTTGCTTATACAACAAATCTATCAACTATTCTTCGAGTTACACAAATTTTTGTTTCAGTTACTTTCCACATTTAATCATTTTTGGCTCTAATTTATTTTAGACAAGAACCCAGATGACATGGTTATACGGCGACCAACTTCTTAGGGCCCGTATGATGCATTGGAATGGTGTTAAGTTCTGTCAGATAAAGTTCATCTTAAGACTATACTAATATTACAAAGAGGAAAGATTTTTGTATGTATTGAAATAACTCAAAAACTATTCGGCTGATTTTAAAAATTATTTCACCATTAGAAAAAAAATATTTGTGAGTAACACTGGCTATATTGCATTATTACTAATGTCGAGGAACTATTAATAAACAATACTTTTACTTTCCTCCGCTTTCACTGCCTAAACCGTTAGAGATATATAAAAATGATGTATGAAAGTATTGTAGATTTCAATAAGTTCTATAGAAAAGTCGTAAGATTTCAAATTTCACGCAGACGAAGTC